TGCTCGTCATCATCTCCATCTCCCACTTCAGGCAGCTGCACACCCCGACCAACGCCCTGCTGCTGTCTCTGGCCGTGTCCGACCTGGTGGTGGGGCTGCTGGTGATGCCCATCGAAGGTCTGCGCCACATGGAGACGTGTTGGCTGCTGGGGAGGCTCATGTGCGCTCTGACTCCTTTCCTGTCTTACTGCCTGCTGTCGGCCTCTCTGGGCAACATGGTGCTCATATCTATCGACCGCTATGTAGCCATCTGTGACCCGCTGCTGTACTCCTCTAAGATCACCCTGAACAGAGTTAAAACTTCCATCTGCTTGTGCTGGGCCTGTTCTCTTCTCTACAACGGGTGCATTCTGATGGGACACTTGGGGCAACCGACCAGGTTCAGCACCTGCCACGGGGAGTGTGTGGTGGTCATCAGCCACATGGCCGGCACAGTAGATCTCTGCTTCTCGTTTGTCGGGCCTTGCACTGTCATGGTCGTCCTGTACATGAGGGTGTTTGTTGTTGCCATGTCTCAGGTGCGTCTCATTCAGTCGCAGACAGCTGCTTCCACCATCACTGCAGCTCCAGCTGCTAAAAAGTCAGAGAGAAAGGCAGCCAGGACACTGGGGATTGTGATTGCTGTGTTTCTAATGTGCTTCTGTCCGTATTACTATCCTGCTCTCACCGGTGAGGCCACCTCCACCAGTCTGTCTTATTACGCCTTGTTGTCTTGGATCATGCTGACTAACTCCTGTGTGAACCCTCTGATTTATGCTCTGTTCTACCCCTGGTTTAGAAGAGCTATCAGGTTCATCTTCACCCTCAGAATTCTGCAGCCTCACTCTCGGAAGATCCAGATCCTGTAGTCAGGGCTGAAAGTTTTCTGTTACCTGATCATTCAAAAAAAATTATTTGCCACACTGTCTGACTGTGGCCTCAGTTGATCCGTCACCTGACCTTGAATGAAACACTGTGTGCTGTGTTTGTGTCTGGTCACATATAAAGCCTGATACAAACATGCTTTTAAAACATATGTCAGTGCTTGTACTCTCAGTGGAAAAACACTGACATGGACAACAAAGTCGTAAGCACCATGAAATCATAAAAAACAATACATGTATTTTTCTGAATTTTCATTTAAAAAAGTATAAATATGAATATGCTGTCGTAGCAATATAGCATAAAATATAATAATGATATTTATATGAACAAATGCACGTCCTCACTGGTCTGGTTAGTTTCTCTGTTAGCTCTGTGTTGTTTTTTCTTATCACTATTTAGCATTTGAATGGAGCTTTAATGCACTTCTTTCATCAGCTGTGTCGTTAAAAAATAACCAAATCATTGTGCTTTTATTAATCTCTGCCATATTTAATGTACTTTGAGGTGGCTGCACAGCTGTCAAATCCACTTTTTCTCTTGGTGTTGTTGACCGTCTGTTTAGAGAAACATGAGAACTGTCTCAATAAATTAAAGCTGTACTCATAAACGGTAAAAGTGGCACTATGCATTCAGATAGGAGTTGTTGCTTTGCATCCAGACTCACCTGTATGTGAACAACAGCCAGGTGTTTGTGTGAAGCAGGCCTGTGAATCAAAACAGAAAAAACAGACTTTTATTTCAGTTTTCTGCAGCTCTCGACTGGAACCACTTACAGAAAACACTTAAACTCTTTCATACCTTTATCGTCTTTTAAATATATGGCGAAGGCATTACTTACCGATTCCTGTACCTGCGTTTAGTGTATTTTATCTTTAAGCATTTTATTGTTATGTTTTGTTTGTGTATTGATTATTTTATGGATGTATTCCTTTTATCGTATTTTCTGTTCTGTGCTGCCTCTTGGTCGGGTCGTTACTGTAAATGAGAAATAAAATAAAATGAAATGGTTTGAAAACAGAAAAATCCAAGCAGGAGTAAAGAAAAAAAACAGTCTTCCCCTACTTTAGTTAAACTATTTCAATATAGTTCATCTCTTGTGAACATTTAAAGAAGACAATGAATTTTAAAAGGTGCTTGTTTCGGCATAAATGTTAAAATATAAAGAAAGGAATTAATGAATA